TCACACCCATGTCGCAGTTCCGCGGCTCGCACAACGTTCGGGACGAGTTTGAAGTCAACACGATCTTCACGGCGACGCACTTCGTGATAGAGCGGCATCGTGAAGCCCTGCTGTGGTCGTGGGTGGTAGCGAAGTGGGGCGGCGTCGCGGACGGGATTCTTGACGAAGAGCTCAAGGGTGCGATGTGGCTCGAGCTTGGGGCGGAGGACGGACAGGACGAACTGCGAAAGACCAAGAGTGTTCGTACGAGTCAGCAGGACGTCGCGCTGAATATGCGGGCCGCGGGACTGCAGCAGCCGCAGTCGGCCAATCCAGACAAGCGGGCTAATACGACGTATCTTTTCGGTGCGTTTCATTCCGCTCTGCATACAACATTCCTGACTGGTCCTTACAGTTTCGCTTGAGTTCGTGTTCCGGCTCTTTCTGCTATCTACGGTCTCTAATCTCCTTGAGCAGCGGGTATACACCAAACTACGCTGGCCGGCCCGAGGAAAGTGTGCTGAGCCGGAATGAATGCATCGGTGAACACAAGGAAACAGCATGGGCCGTTTTCAGGCGACTCGCGGCTGAGAAGACGCATTGCGGAGATGCAGGTAAACAAGCACTTGGTTTGTGGATTATTTTCACGATTCTTACTCCATTCAGTTATCGCAGCGCTTACGAACGCCACTCCGCGGGGTCTCTCCATATTCCTACCCCCTCATTCCTCCTCGGCTCCTATTCCGGTCCCAGCTGTCCTCCCTTTGATAATGCCATCAACTCCACCGCCCCTCCCGGAGAATCCGCGAGGGTTCGCGGTGCGACTCATCCACCGCTACGCACATGTCATCGCGGACACGCCCTCCGAGTTCTTTGGTGTGCAGTCCGGGAACCAAGCCAAGTGGTACTTGAGCTGGGTACAGGCCGAGACGTCGTTGCTGTGTGTCAACGATGATTTGTACGATGACGCTTTGAATGTGACACAGGGAGATGCGATGCTCCGCCGATGGTTCCAAAGCAAATGGGTAAGCAACATTTCCTGTCGTTCCGACTTGCAGAGCTGTACTAACTGATCTTTGATTTTACAGCCAGATACGCTTGCGTATGAAAAGTAAAGAAATATTAATTCTCGTCTCGTGTAGCATTTGTACACTTCAACACCAAGAAAGAAAGACATGGGCTCAGGCCGCACAGTCGCTGACTCACTCCAAGTTCCATCAGATCCGAGTCTGGCGATAAATCATAACGATCGTTCAAACAATGAGGAACTGTACGAATATTGCACGGTACTAGCTACAGGCTGCCTACATAATTGTTTTGGGGCTCTACAGGAAAAACCTGTACATAAACAAAAGTCGTGTTTATGGCCGCCATCAACTCCAAACAACCGTTTCCGTTCCATTTCCGGAATCCGAATTAGATCTCTCTTTCTCCGAGAAAGGCTTCAGAGTCTTTGTATGTTACCGATCCTCTTCGTCATTCGGAGCCGTTTTCCGCGGCGGAGCCGACGTGTGCAGTATAAAGACGCACAGTTTAGACATCCAGTAATATTATGTCGTCCTCTCGCATTTGGTTGATTACGGGAGCCAACTCTGGCCTCGGACTGGCCCTGACTCAACATGTTCTTGCACAAGGTGACCAGGTCTGTTGCGGATTTAATTTCGTGCAGTCCTTTGCTTGACTTGTGAATAGGTCATCGCTGCTGTGAGGAAAGTGTCGTCTATTCCAGCTAGCATTAAAGCCGCCAAACCCCTGGTTTTGGATCTCAATGCATCTGATTCTGAAATCAAACAAGCCGGTGCGGAAGCACTGAAAATCTATGGGCGAATCGACGTCCTGGTCAACAATGCCGGCTATGCTTTAACGGGGTATACTGAGGAGCTCGAGTGCGTCTAGTCTTTCCACTCAAGTTGAGGAAACCCGGGACTGATCAGCAAACGGAACAGCGACGAGGCCATCAAGACCCAATTCCAGACAAACTTTTTTGGTGCTATCTCGCTCACGCAGTCGTTGCTTCCGGCGTTCCGCGAGCAGAAATCGGGGCACATTCTGAATATTTCCTCGATCGCCGCGGTAGCGGGTGGAGCGCCGTTCGGGTTGTACAACGCCTCAAAAGCTGCGCTAGAAGGTCCGTCTTCGTCCGCTGCCGCTCCATGTCGCAGTATTCACAAGCCGTGCAGCTGCAACCGAAGCTCTCAGCATCGAGCTGGCTCCGTTCAATATCCGCGTTCTCATTATCGAGCCAGGGTTCTTCGCGACCAACTTCTTCGCCGCCGCAGGCGTGAACAGCGCCCGACCCGAACGAGTGACCGGCGCATACCCGGATACCTCAAAAGTGCCCGAGCAATACGTTGCGCGGCATCTCGCTCTCAAGCAGGTGGGGGATATGAACAAGGCGGCTGCGAGGATGTTCGAGGTTGTGAGCGGGACCGGGCTGGCGAAGGATTTCGTGGACGGTGGACTGCGAGACTTTGTGCGCGTTCCTCTTGGCCCGGATAGCGGCACGAGATTCGGAGCCAAGTTGCAGCTGCTGTCTGAGAACGTCGAGGCTACTCGGGCGATCTGGAATTCCACCGATATGGACGAGGAGAAGTTACAAGAGTTTGCGAAGCAGACGTAGGATGAATTCCGCAGGGCTCAGTGCCCGTGGACAATATCTGTCCATTTAACAACGAGAAAAGCTTGATAACCTTTCAATGGGTGCATGTTATGAGAACCTCTCGGGCGCAACAAGGTCCAGCTCCGCGATATCCACGCCAGCAAAGTCCCGGCTTTTAATCGTCCGGCTCCGCACCTCCTTCTGCTGAAGCCATAATCTGTACAACTCGAGGCAATCTTTGGCCTACGAGACCGTCAGTGGGTCCGTCGATAACAGTCCGTGGAGAATATATCACCAGAATGAATATCCCGAAGCCGAGAGAATTCCGCCACCTAAACAGCAAGGCACATAATGAGCAAACGGACGACTGCGGGGAACAAATGTACAGACCACACGGGATCGACGTCCGCCCACACCCACGAGCCGCCCAGCAGAAGCCCGCCAACAGTCCGGCACGCAGCCACCGCGCGCCCCTGGGGCGACATCGCACCCCAGCTGGGGTGGTACGAATGTACACCGGCGGCGAGCGCCACGGCCGGCCGCAGGCCCAGGAAGCGCCGCAGATAGGACGAGTGCCCCGAGAGCCCGTGCAGCAGGTTCCCGAATAGGCGCGGGAACGCGAGGAAGGCGAGGGCATGCAGGACGTCGTGCGTGAGAGAGGATTGGTCCTTCTGGATGATTTGGTCTGCGATGGCGAGGGGCGGGGGGTCGAGGTCTGCGTCGGCCGCTGCGGGGGGCGGAGGAGGGCGCGTGCGGAAGAATAGGCGCTGCACGCGTTCGGCGAGGTAGCGTTTCTGGCGGTGCGGGGGAGGCGACCCGAGGACCCATGTTCGGAAGTGAGAGAAGATGCGGTTGTAGACTGGACGGAGGAGAGGAACGATGACAAGGCCGAGGAGCACGGGAGACGGCGGCCATGTCGATAACATGGGGCGGGTAGTGGTGGAGACATCGGACGACGTGTCCGGAAGCCCGAGCACTCCCAGTTCCGTCATGCCATGAAATATGAGCGGGAAACTGGTGTAGAGAGGTATTATAAACCTGGGCAGAGTGCCGGGAAGGAGGAGCCTGAAGGGAATGGTAGGGACGACAATGAAGAACGACCGAACGAGATCTTTGACTTTGTTCGTTACAAAGAGGTTGAACATGCTGCTTCAAATCAATTTTCCCTTATATTTCGTAGTAGAGACGAGTGTACCTCGTGCCCAAGTAGAATTCTAGGAATGCGACTTCATAGACGAACATTCCTGTCAAGGTATTGGCAACTATTCCGTCTTTTAAAAAAAAGAATGCCAACCTGCGAGCACAGTCAATCGGCTTTGCAGAGTAAGCGAGACGGGGATGATCTGCAGCGTAGCTAGGCCCAGTGCCGTGCACCCTATATCCACCAATTCGGCCAGAAGCACATATATTGCATCAGATATCATAGCAATTCGGTGCCCCCAGGATGTTATAGGGTTTGCCAGCTCATACGGACGCTTGCAGTGAGGGCACCTGAAAGTATCCAGCACAAAAATGGTCCCGCGGTCTTTGTGCTTTGATTGTCTCAGCGGCAACGAGCTTACCCACCGCAAAAGACACCGGTCGTGGGCTACGAGCGCACAGTTTGGACAGGGATGAGCCCAGGCGCTGGTGATATCGCGGAGGGAGTTGCTCTGAACGGGGCCATCTGGTCACGGTTGTGGAATGAGATTCCGGGAAAACGTGTAACGGTGGACGTGCCGGGTGCGCGCTCTTCTTCTAGACAGATAAAGCAGTGCTTAACCTAGCCAGAAATTAACCCGGGTTCGGATTCTGTGCATGAAGCCTACGCGGAGGTTGTCCAAGGTCGGGAAATCGTCGTTCATGTCTACAAGAGAGCCTGGGAATCTGTACCGGGTGATCCGGATCGCTTACATGTTGAACCAACCTTGAACCAACCCGTAACGGGATTGTTCATGTTCAGGCCATCCTCGATATTCGAAGGAAACGAATGTGAGACGACGAGGGAAGTAGAGAGCCATCAATGATTTTTGTGCCGCAATTTCCATCCCGGTCCAATTGTGTAGTTGGTTATCACTTTTGTTCAAGCGAAGTTGGTTTTTCTCATGTCCTCCCAGCAAGTTACTGGTCCGATGGTGTGCTTGATTATCACTTTGTCTTATGACCATCACCTGGCTCACTTACAACAACGAACGACAAATGTTGGAGAACTATTCGGAATTTATTCCTGAGCAGTGAGCACTGGCGCGGTCGATTCTGGTTTCACTTTACCTTAGTTATGGAACTAACATTGACGTGAATTAGACTCGCAGAATCACAGTAAGTCCCTTGATTCATCTTGGTGCCCGATGAGCGTCGAAGATTGAACGAAAACTTGAACTGAGAAGTTGAACTGGCCTGGTGCATTGATAATACAATGTTCATACTTCTGTAGGAGTTAATCGGTCCGATGGTGTAGTTGGTTATCACTTCTGTCTAACAAATTTCCTAATGGGGATAAGTGTAACACAGGCGGTCCTCAGTTCGAACCTGGGTCGGATCAGTTTTTGTTCATTTTCGTTCTGAACTCTGTGCCCTGGTGAAAGTGTTCAATTAGAATTCTTACGAGGAGAAAAAAATCCATGTCCTCGATCATTCTCGTTAAGAATCATCAATAGTCCTCAGTTCGAACCGGGTCGGATCACTTTTGCTTCTTTTTTGTTCAGCTTTTTTTTTCAAGTTCAGATCCCCTGGTCTCGTTTCAACGTTCCTCGTTTTTCCCGAGAAAAAAAACTATGTCCTTGATTATTCCCTTAGCCGAACTGCCGACTGACGGATCATCAGACCCACGCCTGTCGTGGCTCTGATTGATCTCTACCTCCATGTCCTCGTCGCGGCGTCTTTTCGGAGCTTGTCGAGCTTCTTGGCAGCATATTTCCAAAGCTAAATCCACCTTTACCTACCGCGAGCTTTCATCCAGATCACTTCCCAAGTACAACATCCCTAAACCTGTTGTCAACCGCCAGAACCTCAATGCTCTTGCGGTGCTTCTTGCTGCGACAATGTGCGGGGCAGTAGGCGGATACAGCATTGCACATTCTACTGGTGCTACCTCAATACAAGCTACACAAACTCCGAAATATGGAACCGCAGAAGACTTCAAGCTCGCTGCAAAGGAACTCAAGGAGGCTCTACCCCGGGACGGAGCTGTATCAACTGACAAGGCTGATCTCGTCATTCACGGCGGATCATCGTACCATTACCATGATGGTTTATTTATTTTGTTACAATCACTTTACGACCTAACACCCAAATAGGTATACCTCACAGTGTCGTTGTCTATCCCGAAAGCACGGGGGATGTCGTCAAGGTTGTCAAAATCGCAAACAAATACAGAATGCCTGTCGTGGTTTGCCGATGTCCCTTCTATCTGTGATCCATCATTCAACATCATTTCAGCCTTATTCTGGCGCTACGAGCTTAGAAGGTCAAGTTGTCGGGGTTTGTGGAACAGCTCTTGCTTGAGGTCTCTATTTACACTCGTCTTTGCAGCATCCCGGTGGTTGCATTTGTGTAGACATGTCGGAAATGGACCAAATTATCGAGATTCATGGTTAATTTGTCGTCGAGAAGCTGTTTTAGAACTGACCAGGCTTTAGAAGCGGACGCCGACCTCGTGTGTCAACCCGGAGTAGGTTGGATGACCATCAACGAAACACTACGAAGCAAAGGTGAGAACGTTCACAAATTCGGCTCTTAACTCATTATCCGTCAGGAATACCCTTGTTCTGTCCGGTATGGCGATTCATTGGCATGCCAGTTTGCTTTCAGTTTCATCTTGGAGTAGATAGACCCTGGGCCATCAGCGACTATCGGCGGGATGGTAAGCACTGGTTGCTCGGGAAGTGAGATTCAACCTATCGGTTCCTGCTCGTCCCTCACGATTCCGCAGCCAATGCCGTCCGATATGGGACTGCTAGAGGGGAGTGGTTTTTGAACTTGGTAATCGCTTCTTTTTAGTCGCGCATTTCTTTCTCTCAGAGATTATGACAGACTGTGGTGCTGCCAACCGGCGAAGTCATCAAAACACGCCGTCGATCCCGAAAGTCGTCCGCCGGATTTGATTTAACAAAACTGTTTATCGGTGCAGAGGTAAGCGACATGATACATTATCTACGACCGCTCAATATAATTGTAGGGTACGCTGGGAATAATTACAGAAGGTATGTTTCGCCCACACAAGTTTGGATGACGCTTCACTACATCCCAGTCACCCTTCGCCTGGCCCCCGTTCTTCCTACCACAGTTGCAACTGTGCAATTCCCCAATGTTGCTGCGGCAGCAGAAGCAGTGCGACAGGCGCTCAATGTAGCCGGCGTCGGAGCCGCCATTCGTGAGTTCAAATGTGGACATGATGTCACTTCTGCTCACTCGGCACCTAGAATGTGTTGAACTAGTCGATGACAACTTTATGAAAGCGTTGAACCAATATGGTACACAATTCCCTGGCGTCTGTTGTTGCCCTAAACCGTCCTTGAACCCACCTAGGCTCGTCGAAACGAAAGTACTCGGAGAAGGACGGGCTATTCTTCAAATTCCAAGGACACTCTGATGCCGCGTTGACGGAAGTGGCCAAAATCGTAAAGGCTGTGTGCGAGAAAAACGGCGGCAGCGGATTTAAACTGGCTAGTGGACCCACAGAAGCAGATGCTATGTGGTCTGATCGAAAGAACGCGCTCGACATCGGTCTCTCACTGTACCCCGACTCCAAGGGCTGGTCCACTGATGTTTGGTGCGAATCTCCCCTGGACGTGATGCATGTTGTACTTTCTGACATCGTATCGCTTTCCAGTGTGCCTGTCTCGAAGCTTCCGGAACTGGTGTACGAAACAAAGAAGGATCTCGCCGCGGCAGAGATTCCATCCATGCTCGTCGGCCATGCCGGCGATGGAAATTTCCATGCACTGCTTTTGTACAAGACAGAAGATGAATTGGACGTTGCAAAAATAGTGGTCAATCGTATGGTGAAACGGGCGATAGATTTGGATGGAACATGTTTGTCCGCTTTTCTTCCCCGAATTCTTCGCGTGAACGTATGTGGCAGGCACAGGAGAGCATGGCGTGGGTGTCGGTAAAAAGAAGTATCTCGTCGAAGAGCTGGGGCCAGGTACGGTTGAATTAATGAAGAGGATCAAGCGTACCGTCGATCCCCTTGGACTATTTAATCCAGGCAAGGTAAATTCAACACTGATCGTCCTTGAAACTGTCTACTCACTTCAACAAGCTGTACCCCGACTAATATTTTATCGGTCCAGCTTCGATAGCCCTTCACAGTATATTAAGATTGCACAAGCATCGACGCCGCTTCAATAGTGTCCCGTATAGATGGTCATGCCGTGATGTATCATTCTCGAACAATATCACCGCGGTATTGCCAGAAATAGCAGATCTAACGTCAACAGCTGAAGGCGCGGCGAATAAGAAAAGAAAACTTTATCGTTCAAAATGAGATCTACTGCGATTCCGTTTGATTACCAAAGACCGGACCATTGAGAATGAAACCCATCTTGATATCAATGTTTTGCGACGCGGAGGAATGGAAAAGCGGCCCTAGATCTAGCCCGGTTGCCAAGAGCTTAACCCGCTCTTGATCTTTTCGAGGCGGAGTACAGCTTCGTCCATGGTGGACCGCTTTTGAGGATCCGGATTCACCATGGCCTTAACGCTCGAAAGTCGCAAGTCCCGTGAGTCTTTCATAAAGAAAACGCGTCACATATATCGAGAAACTCTTCGCAGACGAGGTTGCCAATATGATATATATTTGTGCAGAGCGCATCTTGAGGAACTGACAGAATACCTGAGTCGTCGAATTCTGGAAGCGTTCTATCAGCTCCTGGTTCTAATTGCACCGATATCCCGAAGTCGATGAGATAATATTTCGGAGGTCGTCAGGCGTGGGTCAAATGTCTACCGTTTTGTGCAGATACATGGTTTGGTATTGGGGGTGGGATCCATCGGGATACAAATACACGCCGTCCATCATGATATCATTGGAAGCACAGTCACTCCAATCGAGGCTAGTGGCAAATCCAGCGCAGAGAGGGTCGAATTACCGATGAGCAATGCCATGTTTATGCACAGACCCTGGAAGTTCAACTCGAGGAAATCAAGTTCACTGTATTTGCTGAAAAAAAAATCAAAAGCTCCCCCCACAGTATCAAAAGGAAGTTTCGTATATTTTCTCAAGAGCTTCATGACAAGAATGACATAACCGGGTTCGCTCGGGGGGCTCTAACACCTCGAGGAAAGGAGCACAGTGATATTTAGGGTCCCCGGAAAGCTCCGAGTCCGAGGAAGAGAGAAAACGGTGGATTATTTCCCCAAAAGTGTGAGCAGACAGCTTGAGCCGCTTCAGTATGACTCGAGGTCCGTCGATATCGCGCACTGCATCCACGGCTTGATGCTAGAGACAATGGTCAGACTCGTAAGTTGGAAGCAAGACTGTCACGATGAGTGGCCAAAAGTCGTCATAATTTTTAAATACAGCCCCCGGGCCTTTCCATGACGGACCTTGTCTGAAACCTGATCGGAGCGTGAACCCGCATTGCTGCAACCATGGCTGCAAGTCGCGCCAAAAGATTTCCATCTTTGTGAGCTCCCTTTTGGCTTCGGGGGAGTCGCCGATCGGTCACCAAGCCGCACACTTTCCATGGTAGGATACTGAACCTTGGGAATAATGCCGGGCACTTTAAAGATCGCTTGTGGCGTATGGGCCAATTGTAGGCGTACTATAAAAGGGAGGCCTACGGATGATAAAAAAATCAGATCCAGGAGCTCGGGGCGAGACCAGTATCCAAGGATATCAGTTGTTCTTGAACGGAGTAGCAGACTCGAAGCAGACTCTTTGAAGGATCATTTGAATTGGATGGTGTCAGCCTTGGCATGATGCCGCGTGCTCAAGTCGGCGTTCGTTGGTGCTCCAGTTGGCTGCGACATCCCGGGGCCTAAGTAGATAAAAAATCGTGGAACATGGCCTTTAATGCGAAGTGGATGAAACAGCTAAAACCAATGCGAAACATCCAACAACATCAGCACAACAATGCAAAACTACCGCTCGCATCCCGATTTGGAAATAATGTTCAGCTGATCGCGATCCATTCTATAGTTGTCGACAGTCGAAATGAGGTAGATAGAAGGACACCACAGAAAATTAGAGGAGGCTTCTATTATTACATCAACCAAAAAACATCATTCTTGGACTGTCCGCAGAAAGTCGGCCCATTGTCTCTCATAGGCGATTTGGACACGGTGGAAATCAGATTGCTGGGACTCGCTTGGATCTAAATTGAACTGATACGTGGAGCAAAACCCCGCGTCTTCAACAGAGGGCAGGGCTTGCGGCTCTGGAAGGAGCATCACGTTACCGAACGGAGTCGTTGTGTCGAAGGACTGTATGATGGTGGGATCAAATCCCTGTTGAAATTTTTCCACTTCCCACCCATCCGGATGCTGAGAAAAAGATGGAAGCGATGGATCGTCGCACGCAGTCTGCGGGGGCCAGCG